GCTGCCTGTCCTTTATATCTAAGAGCATATTGAACAGACTCAAGCACTTTACTGACCCGGAACTTATAGTTGTACATAGGTGGCCCATGTGAAAAATATTCTCCCCATCCCCCCAGGGCTGCCAGGTTTTGCTGATTAGAGAAGGAACAATTTACTGAATAGCATGGAAGGGCTGGAAGAGCCTGCTTTTTTCAGAGCAGCCAAAAATACGGTCAAGGAGTTTCTCAGGCAGGGAAGGGTCTTATTCAGAAATTCTGACTAAAACCAAGGTATATCCAATGAGCCAATGTATGGATTTGGATAAAATTCAACTAGGATGCTATTTATGCACAGAGCTAGTCCCAGCACAGCACCAAGGGCCCAATCATCTTTTAGGTGTCTCATCTCTGAGTCTCAATCCTATCCCTCTTACTCTGAGTCAACATGCCAAGGCTAACATATCTCCCTAGTGTTTAGCTAGTACCCACAATGTGCATCTTTTCAACGTTTTCTCATCTCTGTATCACATCTATCAGAGCCAACAACTGTGGCCTCGATTTCATTCTTTGTCCTATTCTGTGTTCCTCTACGAGCTTTTCTGTTTTGGCAAAAGCTCATCTAAATGTGTCCTTGTCCATCTTTCTTGCACTCATGTCATGCCCAATTCATGCCTCAAAGAGGTCCCATAAGGCATCCTTTACACATTGAACACATGCCTGCTCTTCAAACACCTGCTATCTCTGAAACTAAGCTCCTTTAGGAAGTTTTCCCTGACTATAGATCAGAAAGACACTATCTCACCTTATAGAAACATCCTTTTCATAAAACTCCTTCTCAAAATGAATTGAGTACATCAGAAACACAAGATCATTAAGAATGGCCGTTTCTTGGGGTGCCTGGGTGGCTCAATTGGTTGAGCATCAGACTTCAGCTCAGGTCACGATCTCGTGGTTCATGAGTTCAAGCCCCATGTCGGGCTCTGTGCTGACAGCTCAGAGCCTGGAGCCTGCTTCTGCTTCTGTGTCTCCCTCTCTCTCTGCCCCTCCCTTGCATGCTGTCCCTCTCTGTCTCTCAACAATAAATAAATGTTTAAAAAAAAAATTTTTTTTAAAAGAATGGCAGTTTCTTTATCTTTGCTATGTAGCTTTAGAACACGTGTTTCTAATGGAGGAAATCCCTTGTTTTTCTACTACCTTATCATGTAGTGCCTACACACTGGGAGTGTTTAGCCAACAGAGGCAACATTGAGATAGACCAATCCATTTTCACACAGTTATTGAATTTCTTATGTGTGGTATCCTGCGTTAGGCATATGCACTGGGGATACAGAAGATTAAAACAGAACCTATGTCCTTTGGTAGCATAGTTGAGCTGGAAAAGAGGGATGCAGAACATATTTACAAAGAAGGATTTGCCAAGGATGGAATCCTAAGTGGGAATGTTATGTATTATTCCAAAATGCTCTAGTCAGGTGCTCTCACTTGCTTGTTTTTCCTTTCTCTCAGACTGAACGGGCCCATAGTCTTTCTGGGAATGATCAGATACCTTCTCGGTTCCTGGCTTCCCCTGTCCCCACGGTGTGTCCCTGTCTTTCACCTGTCCTGCTTTCCCCAGCAGTCAGGAGATGGCTCCCTGAGGATGAATAAGAGAAGTAGATTTCATCCTCCATGCACTATGCTCAGTTATGGGAAGGGCATCCTGATGAGTCAGGAGCTTGGAACAAGTGCTGAGGATGTTAAATAATATAAAATGAAGTGTTTATTTTTTAAATAATCCAAATAAAAGTAAAAGTATTTTCTAATATTGTAAATGTGAGTTTCACAGTTCTTTTATTATTTTTATTATAGAAATATTTCATGATAATATTTTCAAAAGACTAAATGAAGATAGAAATATACAAAGTGAAATATGAAAGTTGCTCTTCATTTTTCCTTGACCTCAACCCAAAGGTGAATACTGTCTGCCCATTTATTCACCTCCATTTCCCTCTCAAGATATATGTATATATATACTTACCTTTTATCAATAAATGGGATATTATAGTCATTGTGCTTTGATTTTTTTCATGTAATGACTTTATTCAGAGATATTTTAGTACATAAGCCTCATCTCATTCTTTTAAACAACTGTATAGAATTCTGTGGAATGGAAGAACAAAAGTGTATTTTAAAATATCTCTTCTGATTACTATAGTTAGGATTGCAGACAACATACTTGTGGAGCCTCTCTCCATATTTCTCCAAAATAGAGCACCTAAACATACCATTGTTGACCAAAAGAAAATGCACATCTAAAGTGTTGATTGACACTGCCCAACAACATGTGAAATGCTCTTTTCTTATGCCCTCAACAACCTTTGATATGGTCAATATTTTTAAAATATTGTTAATCGGTGGCCAGGGGTGATGTGGAGAGTCTCATTATTGTGTAAAATTGAATACCCATGCATATTAGTAAACTTGAAGATCCTATACATCCTTTCTGTATATCACCTGTTTGCCTGTTTGTATATTGGGGTCTTGATGTGTACAGAGATGTACTGCCATGTTATGGGGGAGGGGCACGCTTGCAGCCTCATAAGTATCCTCACTGTATACCCTATCTTGGAGTCAGCTTCACAGAGAATCCAACTTGTGGCAGGATGCCTGTCTTCATTGTAATGATTTGTAGGACCTCCCTAAGTATTCTGATACCAAATAAATGTCGCAAATGTAATCGGTTCCAGACACCCAAAAAGGTAGAAGTGAAAATCTCATTTTTCTCTCACATACTTTGATTACAACCCTTTCCACTAGATGGCAGAAGCTGAATCTGAGACCCAACCATCATCACTCCTTCCTTTGGGTTGGGCCAAGTTCCTGGTGCTTGAGAGTACAAAGGTGTTGGTGGCAGGGTGCATCTGGTCTTCAGTCACCTTTTATCCACACTGCCTCCGCTGGGAAATACCTTATATGTTCTCGCTCTTGATCTTTAAGTTAAAGATGAATCATCCTTTGTTCCCATTCAAGGTGACTTTACTTACTACTTTAGTGCCATTATTTGGTGCACTGGGATAATCTGGTTGTTTTGTGCATGAAGGACATGAGAGAAATCTGTGAGAACATGTCAAATCTGTTCTCCCAAACATACCATGCAGGTGTTTTCACTCCACTGCTATCCCACACCAAATAGCTGTTAAGAAATGGGAAAACTAGGGTCTTGTTTGACTCTGGGCTGCATTTGGGAAAAAGAGATGTAAGATTCTATTTCTGAGTTTCCTGTCACTGGCACATTCACCCCACCCCACACAGTACCCCTTGTCACACCAGGCTCATCCTGTGACAGAAGCTTGAGGCAGGATGTCGTTCCCAAGCCTCTACCAGTTTGGCCCTTCTCTTTATTTCTCTTTCCACTCCTCTTCTTCCCAAAGCCAACAGAAGCTTGATTTATAATCAAGACAATCAGACCTTGAGAATGAGATGGTTACAAACAAATTTTTTCCAAATACTTTTTCTGTGTCATGTCCTAGGCTTTAGAAATTCAAAAACTGAGAACTGACTCTAGTTCTCTGCATTATGATGTCATCTGTTCTTGGAGGTAATGAACATAGAACACCCTTGCTGCTGCCAAAACAAGGAGGGGGCAGTTGGTGGGCTAGGTGGCAGGTATAACATGAAATTAGAGAGAAATCAGTTATTATCTCAAAATATTATCCCATTACACCAATATTTTTTTTTACTTGTCTTTTAACTTTGTTTGTAGAGTCTTTTGTCATGCAGTCATTTATAATTTTTGTACAGAAAAGCCTGTCAATCTTTTCTTTTATAAATTCTAGGTTTTGTATCTTAGGAAAGGCTTCCAATATACAAATTAAAAATATATTCTTTGATATTTTCTTCAAAGACTTAAAGAATTTTGTTTTTTACCTTAAATTATCATCCCATCTTGAATTAATTTTTTTGTACAAAATCAAGAAAGGAAGTGTCACTCTCTCTCTCTCTCTCTCTCTCTTTCTTTTTCTCTTTCTCTCTCCCTCTCCATTTTGGATAGACAATTATCATTTTCCTAACACCATTTATTTAATAGCCAATTTCTTCCCCAATTATTTAAAATACCATCTTTAGTATTAATTCTGGTAGGCACACAAATCTTGTTTTAAATTCTATTCCTGTGTATTTTAGACACAGTAAGAATGAGATGGGAGCTTTAAGTATGTTTTTCCTTCAATTGGCTCCCATTTCTGTGTATTTTTCATGAAGATGAATGTGATTCGCATGTCTAAAGATAGTATGTTTTCATGCAACATGCCTCTAAATTTAAACAAGCAACTTCATTTTTGATCCACCTCTAAAAAAACAGTAAACTCTTCCAATTCTGGAGGGAAACAAATGGTTATGCTAGACTCCTAAGTGCTCTTAAAAGGAATTTTGACTGTATGCAATTTTGTGTATAAGACTCCATCATATTCTTTTAAAATACTGTAGATACATCCTGAAATTTATTTCATGATTATTCTTCTGTTTAAGATTTCTGCCTATTGAGTCAATGTTAACAATTTCATATACCTAAGAAATCTTTTATTTCATTTAGATATTTATGAATATTGGCTTAAAGATGTACCTAACATTCTCCCAAAATTTAAAATTTAGTTCATGTCTTCTTTCTTATTTCTAATGTATGCTTGTATAATATATTTCCTTTGATAACACTAACCCGAGTTTTAGCTATGATATTACTCTTTTCAAATAACAAGATTTTATTTTTATTGAGCGGCTTTTCTTTTTTAACTGTTTCTTTTTGTATCTTCTTCTTATTGTTACTCATTTCCTCCATTGACTCTACTATTTATTTTCAAATTTTCCATTGTAGCCAACATTGGCCAATTGCTATGGTTCTGGCATATGGTTCTCTCAATGAAAACTACTAGGATTTTGGGAAAATATTTGCTTTCCTGATACAAAGGGGTGGACAAAGGCTAATACACTCTACTTTTCTCCTCCTCCCTGTTTTAGATATGAATGAAATGTCTGGAGAAGAAATAGACAACAGGAGAGATAAGGCAAAAGCTAATAGAATTGCAGAAACATTGGCCTTGATACTGTTTAACCGCTGAACCGATACCAGCAAATGCCCATCTCTGGACTTCTTTTCAAGTAAAGAAAAACAGCAGCAACAACTTGCACTCTCTTTTTAAGACACTGAATTTAATTTTTTGTTTGTTATTTCTAGAACTACTCCTAACAGACATGTATGTGTCCTGGATTTATTTCTAATGTTTCTCATTATCTAATGGCATATAAGGCTATAGATTTTGTTGGCCACATTCCATATGATTTAATATATAATGTCCTAATGCTTTCACAAATATTTTGCAATTTTCACTTGAATTCCTGTTTAAAGTAGGATTTTTCTCCTTTCAAGTAGTTTCTCTTATTTCTTTGTTAATTTCTAAGTTTATTGTATTTTTTTAAGTTTATTTTTGAGAGATACAGAGACAATATGAACAGAGTGAGGGAGAGAGAGAATCCCAAGTAGACTCCTCACTGTCGGTGCAGAGCCTGGTGAGGGGCTTGAACCTATGAAACCATGAGATCATTACCCAAGCTGAAACCAAGAGTCAGATGCTTAACTGACTGAGCCACCCCCTAAGTTTATTGTTTTTGATCTGAGATATGTATTGAGATATTTTGACTTGAAGATATAGCTGATTTGTAAAAATTCCACTGTGTTTGAAAAGATAAACATCCTCTATTTTCATAATTCAAAATTCTTTCTTTATATATCTATCATTTGCCTATTTATCTATGTCTATCTATCCATACTATTTATTTATTTTCAGGTGGTTGATTTTGTTATTAAAATCTCCTAAGTACTTTTATTTTGCCCACTTGTGCTCTCATGTGTGTGGTTTTTTTTGAGAGTTGTATTAATATTTTTACCTTTATTGTGGGATTGTTCATTTGTCCTTGCATATACAAAGTTTTTATTTTGTAACCATTTTATTCATTTCACTGAAGCTCATGAATATTATTTCTTTTTGGTGGATTATATTATATATATATAATATATAAAATATCATTTGTGTTAGATATTAAATATTAAAAATATATAAAATATATATTATATATATACATATATACTATATGGAGTATACTATATACTATATTCTATGAGTACCACCCTTTCTTCTAGTTAGTCTTTCCACCTAGATTTCTATTTCTTTTGATATTAATATCATTGTATCTGATTTTGTTATTATTTTCGTGGCATATTAATAAAACTTGTGTAATGTTTTACTTTGTATGCATCATTGCTAAATAGCTTAAAACCCAATTTTATCCCAATATGCAAATCTCTGTGTTTTAACAGAGGAAGTTAATACACTCATAATTATTGGTAGTGAAATCTTAGTACTTTTTCTAGTTATCTATCTCTCTGTTTTCTATTTGTCATTCTTTGTAGTTTCTTAGTTAGCTCTGCCTCAGATTTTTTCACCTTTTGTAATTTTTAATGTTTTATTTTAGAAAGAAAGAAAGAGTGTGAATGGGGGAGAGGGCCATAGACAGAGAGACAGAGGGAGAGAAAATCTTAAGCAGGCTCCATGCTCAGCATGGAGACTGACATGGGGCTTGATCCTATCACCTTAAGATATGGCTTGAGCTGAAATCAAGAGTTGGAAGCTCAACTGACTAAGCCACCCAGAAGCCCCTCAGATTTTTTATCTTATCAAGTTTTTTTTGTTTTGTTTTGTTTTGTTTTTGCAGATTACCCATATAACTTTAGGACATGAAATTAAATGCATTTTTCCAAAAATATGTATAATTTATCTAGGTATATTTCCTTTCCTTAATAACTTTTCCTTAAGAGCACAGAATCTTAGCTTGTTTTTTTATTTATATTTTTATTTTTTCGTTTCTGGTTCCACTGCTCTCCACCCATCAAAACCCTTGGCTTCTCTATGTTAAGAGCAGATGGAATTTGAATTTTAGATATTAAGTTTTTTTTTTTCCCCACACAAAACCATAACATGAACAATTATTTAGATTTAAACTATAAGTATTACTGGTGTCTTTCTACTCTTACTTATACCTATATCACTTTGGTACTCAGAATATGCTTCTTTATTTTCTTGATTACTTTTCTAGTAACCACCGTGTTGGCTGAAACTATCCTGATATTTACAGGACTGGTGAAGTAACTGGTGAAGTTGTCCTATAGCATTGCACCTAAGATAAGTTTTTTTCTAGAATTCAACCTCTTCTTGCTGTCTCATGGCATTCCTTAGTTCAGGTGCTTCTCATTTTTTTGCCTAAACTCTACTTTTGGCCTCCTAAATCATGTCTCTGCCCCTATATGAGACTTAGCATGAGCTTAAACAAACAAACAAACAAACAAAAAAATAAAAACAAAAAAAACAACAAAAAAAACCCCACAAACAACTTTCTGCCTTAAACCACAAATTCTAGAGTTGGTCTTTTTTGTCACTTAGTGTCATCTATCTTGATTGATTAAATATTCATTATATTTATAACTGCTGGTCAGTCTATCACTTTAACTGTGAGCAACTTCAGGAAAAACCCCAAATTTACAAATAGTTGTATTTGTAGTACTTGAAAACCGTCTAGCCCATACGTCAAATGAATGAAAATGTCCCCATGAATGACAAGGATGCACTGTTACTGTATCTGGGTAAGAAACAGAGTCTATCATGGTGTCCAAACAAAGCTGGGGCCCAGTAAATACATGTGGAGAGTTTGATTTGTGAATACATGTTTTAAAGTCTCTTCTATTTGATAGAGAAGCATAATAAAATTTTGTATTGCATTTAAAGGAAATGAAACCATTCTGCGTTTTTGCAATATGACCAGTGTTCTTCTAGCATGAGGACATCATCTGCACTCAATGATTACAGCGTGAGGACTGGATGTCAGATCCCACAAGTTTCCCTTCTGGTTTGATTACACCACATCATCCTGATCATATTGCTGCTCACTTCCCCCACCTGTAAGATGAGGAAGAAAAATAGAGGTGAGCAAAGTGTGCTGCAACAACCAATAGAAATGTACTGAAGTTTTGCTTATATATTCAGTACTTTCACTTTCATGTATGACTTACATTGAGCTACAATTGTAAATGAAGTAAACATGAGTGGAAAAGAAAGAGGGAGAGCACATTTGTGAGTTTGTGTGTGTGTGTGTGTGTGTGTGTGTGTGTATGTGCATGAGTATAACTGTACTTCCACCTTTTAATAAATATCACACCTCTTGCCCCACGTTGGTGCCTTACTTGTGCAGTGACATTTCCACAAACATTTCATTTCTAATAACATCAAACACAAACACTCATTAAAGCCACTTTTGCCCATAGAGGTCTTTGTGACTGCATGATAATATCTCTGGATTGCTGTAGAAGGCAAGAACCACGTCTATTTGTGTTCATTTCTATTAACAGTGACAGGAAGTTGTGCACTGAGGGCCCCAGAATCTTCACTTCTTCTGGGCACAGAACTCCCTTTTGAATACATGGGTGCAAGAACACCATTCTGCCTGGAATCGTTTCTTCTTCCGTATGTTAGTAACCAGTTTCAATACATTTTGATATTTTATTGGCATATTCCAACTCTGGATAGTTTTTCTGGACTAAATGCAAAGAAGACATACTGAAGTCTAATTCATCTATCAAGTCAAGAATCTACTCTTAATTTAAAAAGAAAGAAAGAAAGAAAGAAAGATCACAATTAGAGCAAATAAAATTAATAATTTTAAAAATTTTTTTTTAACGTTTATTTATTTTTGAGACAGAGAAAGACAGAGCATGAACAGGGGAGGGGCAGAGAGAGAGGGAGACATAGAATCTGAAACAGGCTCCAGGCTCTGAGCTGTCAGCACAGAGCCTGACGCGGGGCTTGAACTCACGGACTGTGAGATCATGACCTGAGCCAAAGTCGGACGCTTAACCGACCAAGCCACCCAGGTGCCCCATAAAATTAATAATTTTAATGTAATTCTCATCTTTTGTTTACTAAAAAAGTTTCCCCCAAATACTTATATTTTGTCCACCTGATTGAAAAATAATGTTCTTCTAGTAGGAGAATCAATATATACACTCTGTGGCTACTGAGTGCCAGTGGCTTTATATATGTGCTGCATTTAATCCTACGAAGCTGTTGTTACTCCCTAATTCACGATTGGAGGGTCTACAGCTCAGGCAACTCAAATCTCCTGTAAAAAAAAAAAAAAGGCAGAGTTGGGACTTGGGGAGAATCCAGCTCTCCAGCTCTGCCTCACAAAGACCATACATCTATTCTACCTCTAGGCCTCTAATCTATCTTGATACTTTCTTCTCTTATAACATGGCGTTTATGTTACTGTTTTATACTGTCATCATTACATTATCTCTGTGTTTGTGTGTATTTTCTTTTTTTGCTCTGTATTAATGATAACTGATGCCTGAACCAGTATAACAAGGGCAGGAGCTTAAGGAATCTGGGTTCCAACTCCACCTCCACTGTAGCCTCATCATTTTTGACTGGAAGCTTCTCTTTTCACTCTCCCTCTTCAGGATATCTGGGTTCTATTTCTGTTCCCATCACTTTTCTAAGATTACTTTCAGACCTAACATGCTATCATTTTCTCTGTCTCAGTGTCCTATCCCAAAGCAAAAATGACAGTAACACATATTGCAAATATTGTATGAAAACATTGGCAAATAAAACATGCCAACACACTCTGAAAATAGAAATTCAACTTTGAGAAAGATGTACAAGCATTAGTGTTATGGTTCTGTCCATAAGGATAGTCACAGAATAATTTGCAAAGGATTTTAAAACTCATTGATTTTATTTCCCTGCCATTTATCCCTTACATCATCCTAATCTAAAGCTCACACAGAATGGTGAGAATGACCTGCATACAAGGGAGGGACAATGGATCACAACTCTTAGAGAGACAAAGGGCAGACTATACGGGGAGGTGGCTCAGAACACTCAGGAGTGATTCAGGCAACTGTCTCTCTCTTTCTTCTGGGCATAAATCAAAGACTCTAGCTTTCTAGGCTGCCAATTCAACACCTTTTATAGGCACTTAATTCACTCAGAAATTAAAAATATATACATACTCCTTACAGAAAGTACCATTATTCTTCAGCATGACACATGATTTGATTTTAAGCCTTTATATGTCTCTTCTATATCCTACTGTGGGTTAGAATCAGTCAAATGTCTCTGATGAATAGCTATTGCTGCATAGGCTAGTCACCTCCCACATAGACTCCGTTGATACCCTCCTGGAAGAATCTTTATCTCTTCATCTATGCAAAAGTCATCAATGGAGCTTACAGGGGCAGCACACGGACAAGTCAGTGGCTTGATGAGAATATTACACCATGCCCTCTTAACACTAGATCTCCTGTCTCTTGCCTTGCAGAGCAATATTCAGAATCACTAAGAAAGCTGAGTTCATCATCCTTGGCAAACCCCGACTCTCAGGTTTCCATCTTCACCGTCTCCTCTCCTTTCCCTACATTCCATATACCACACACACTCTTTTGATCTCACTGTCACCCCTTCTTTTGTAACCTGCTTTATAAGGAAGCTGAAACCTCTTCACCCTAAACTTTCAATAATAGCAGCTTAATTTACATACCACTTCCAGGTAAGATTCAAAACTTTTAGTTACAAAGAAGGAAGACAGTTTTGGGGTATAAGAGAAACCCAGGGGATATTACTTGGGCAGAGAAGTTTTCACAAGGAGACATTCAATCAAACTTTGAATGAAGGCATCTAGATATACCCTGGAATAAAATAACCACCACTGGACAAGGAATCAGAAGAATTCACTCTACTCCCAGTTCTGCTTCTAACCTATATCATTTTAAGCATGTTATTGCCCTTCTCTGGACCACTTCTCAGTGTAAAATGAGTGAGAGACACCGACAGAAATGTTCCCAGACTGTTTATTTCACAATGCTGCCCAAATCTGGCTGATGAAGTTCAGCATGGTTTTAGATAGTATTAAGATATTTTGAAGCCAGGGGATGCAGAAATTCATAAATCTTTCTTCAGACCAGACTTCTTCCCATTAAGTTTTCAAATTAGATATGTACGTGGAGATAAGTGGTCAAAGGCAATAAAGTGACACTTGATTGTCAAATAGGCTGAGTCATCAATTCCAACATAAGGAAGTAGGGCTGTCCCAGGTATCTCAAGAATGATCCCACCTTCCTCTAAGTTCAAGCTTGATTCCCACCATTGTACTATGCTCTCTTAACTGCCTTGTGGACAGTACACTACAACAAAGAGTTTCCTGGGGCCTGTGTATGTTCCAGAGTCACTCGTGTGTGTGACCTGCTAAAAGCCCAGGAGCCACTGTCCCATGATCTGCCCAGTTAGTCTAGGAAAAGCAAAAGGTGGGAAGCTGTCCAAGTCCACAGGGCCAGGGACTGGACTGGAGGAGGGGAGTTTCCTCTGTGGGAGTGATTTGACTTATTATGCATTCTGCCATATGAACCACCAGAAATACCAATTTTTATTGTTTTCACTTTCTTGTTCAGAATCAATAGCAGCTATGCTTCTCAAATTCAGTTCCAATCTCTTAGACATTCAAGACCCTCCAATTTTGGCCCAAACTACGTGTACTCTCAGTTCTTTTGAACACACAGTCTCAAATCCACCCAAGTTGGATAACCTTGATTCCCACCAAGCACCATGTTTAACTCTAACCCTTCGCTAAGCCATTCACTTCAGTTTGAATAACCTCCAACCTTCTCTTATTTAAAGTTGATCAAGGCAGATATCTTTCTTATACCTCTCACTGACCACACAAGGCTGCTGTGATCTTTCTGCTTTGAGTCTCAGTTTTATTTAGAATACAGGCAAGATCGGGGGTGGGGGGAAAGACAGGGGGTTGGGTGTTCAGAAGGCCTGACCAAATACTACCTGGGTAACTGTGGACAAGTTAGTTACCTTCTTTAATTGCACATTGGGGGTAATGGTATTCGCCTTCTAAGGACACTGTAAGGGCTAAGTAAGAAGGTAAATGCAAAATGGTAGCACAGTCCATGGCATATGAATTGTTTGTTAAATGGTAGTTCACTTTCTGCACCCTAATATTTAGAAAGAGGAAGGATTTGGTCCATCTTGACTCCATCTATGACTTTATTTTAAGTCCAATTTAATAATAACACTGACTATTCATTTTATAAAATATAGGGCCTCAGATACCTACATCTCTACCTAAGGTGTCATATAATATCCAGATATTTCAAATATATCAGGGAAAGTAATGTAGGAAGGAGAAGGAAGCAAAGGAAATTTGTATTCAACCACACTCCTGCATGTACCCTCTCAGTCTGGACTCTTTCAGTTGAAAGTAACAGAAACTCAATTCAAAATAATAAGCAAATAGGGGAACAGGGTATTCTGAGGCTGTGTCTGCCTTTAGGCATGACTCATCCTACTTTCTGTGATGTCCTCTCCTCTTGGTTCTACTTCCTTTTTGTTGGCTTTATTGCCTTGCAAACTTTCTCCACCTGTAAGGAAAGATACCCCCTAGCAGCAAAGCCTCTTTCCAAAAGCACCTAGAAAACTCTCAGGGAAGAAATGATTGGCCAGGCCAAGGTCATTTGTCCACTTCCATACCAACAGTATAGCAGCCACAGTGAAACCACATAGAACTAATTACATGATGGGCAAAGGAAGGAAAGTATGCCAGGCATTCAGACATTGCTCAAGTTCTTGTTCTCAAGATGGTGATGTGAGAAGGCCCTGAACTCATCACCTTACCAAATCTATACTTATTTATAGGGAAACTCCTTCTGAAGAAGAACCAAAAGGTGACTGAACAGCTTCTGCACAATACAGGTAGAGAGACCACATAGAAAATGGCAACAGAGACAGAGACACTGTAAGGAAGGGAGTCCCCAATACAAATGTTGTGAAGGTCAGTGGGAGGGATAGTACTGAGGGACATGAGCATATTCATCTGCCCTGGGACACAGAAAAAAAGCCACAGCTTAAAAGAGACACTAGAATATAAGATTCAGCATTAAACTCCACCAAACAGTAGGGGAGCTGTGGGAACTTTCTTGGGGTCCGCAGTTTATGTCCCTCTCCATCTTGATACCATGAAAGGAAGCAGGGGCCCTGGAAGTATGACCACCTCAGTGAGCCCACCTTGGCCCCAGAGTCCTGGGTCACAGAAAAAAAGCTATGGTTTAAAAAAGCAATTAGGATATAAAGGAACTAGCCCTAGAAGCCTGCCAAACAGCAGGGGCTACTGGAACTTCCTCTGAGTCTGAGGGGCTGGTGAGGGCTGACGATTATTTCCCCTCCGCCTTGGTAGGACACTCAAGAGCACATCTGGCACCATTGCTGGCCTTCTGTCTCAGTGAACAAGGCCTCTAGTGCATACAATCCCTGGACATCTGAGGAATAGAAAAATAGCTGCTATTTAAAAAGGCAACTAGGATATAAAGGAAC